AATATAATAAGATTTATTTTTAATGTGACCAGCGGGCCTTCCTTGGCACAGGGGATGCCTCTGTGTTTTATTGCCCCCGTGCTGCTGCTTTACGACGAAGGGCTGTTTATGGCTTCACGCTGGTTTTAATGCTAGTTTTTTCAAACATCTGGCGGGTGGCTGGAAGCTGTGGCACACGAGCTGAGGCTCAGGCCTCTTGTTAGTGTCCAAGAAAGTGAGTGGGAAGGTGGTGGGGTTCAGCGAAAGGCTCTCAGCTCTGTCCCAGCCAAGCACAGCACAAGCTGGAGGTGTTTGACGAGGACACCAAAGTAGCTTCCTGCAGGCTGCTGTCTCCCTGCTGCTGGAGCAGCTCTTTATGGGGTGAACTGGAAGGACAGAAGGCTGTAACAACCCACCGTGGCTTGTTTTGTACCGCCTTAGGTTGCCTCATCGGGTTCCCCATGCAAATGTGTCACTGGGAACATGCCAACCCCACCAGGACCTCAGCAGGCACCTCCCTGCTAGCAGAATGGCTCAGGACAGAGGATGTGCACCCCATACTTTCATCCATCCTTCCATCCATCCTTCATCCATCCTTCCAGCCACCTGAGGGCACTCCCAGGACCGCTCTCAGCACCCCCAGAATGGCTCTGCCTGTACCCCACAGCACACACCAACCCCATCAAAGCTCCCAGGACCTCCTGCTGTGCTGGAGGAGGACTCTGAAGAAGGGTCCCACCACCTAGCAAGGACAACCCCGCGTCAGGTCCAAAGCCTTCACCTCCTCTCCTCACAATCCCCTCCCATTCCTGAGAAAATGCCCCAATTAGGCAAACGACGCGGTGGAATCACCCCCCTCCTGACGCTGCGCCCCACAGGTAATGCTGACGAACGAGCTGCTCTAAGGCCCAGGGCTTCACCCCCCGCCTGCAGAGGTGGGTTTCGGAGCTGTAAGTGGAGACGTGTGGGGATTGAGGTGGCATTTGTTGAGCAAAGCCGCCCTGTCCCGTGGGAGCAGCCAGTTCGGAGCTGGGCTTGGAGAGGAGAGGATGAGGGGAGAAACCCAATACCCCTCTTGGCTCAGTCGTGGCTTAATTTAGAGCATGGGGGCTCTGCTGAAGTGTTTTTCCATTTAAAGCCAAACCTCATTCCTTTTGTCAGTGCACGGGGCGATGGCCATGCAGCTTGCAAGGGCAGTAGCAGCTGCTGGCTGCGGCTGCCGGAGGGGTTGGCAAAGCAGTTTCCAACTTAGTTCCCCTTTGCCACCAGCTTCCCCCCGACTTCACCCGCCGGAGGGACTGCAATCTGTCTCCCCCTCACACCTCCGTCCTGTTTCGGAGCCTCGGGGAGGGCACAAGCCACTCGCAGCCCCAGTCGACGCCTCCAAATTGGAGCTGTTACAGTGGGATCGGCTTTGACCTGCTGGCTGATCCTCTGCCACTCGGCCAAGCGGAGCCCAGGGCAGGGAGAGCTCGCCTGTGTCGATACTGTCTATATTTAACCACGCTAATGCAACTTAATTCACGTAACGGCCAGTTTGGAAAGCTATGCTCTTGCGATGCTTGCTCTTCGCAGGTAGACGCCTCGCAACAGGCTGAAAGGAAAACAATGACAATTCATTAAAGGTCACTTATTCCTGGTTGTACTTTTAAAATTGGATGCATCCACCAGGCATTTTATGGCTGCTTTGTGGAAGCCCTGCGCAGCCCCAGGGTAGGAGACAACCTTTGGCTCAGCCCAAGTGTTTGGAGGACTCGTATTCTTAGCATACATTAGCTAAAAGCTGGCCAAATCCTAACAAGGAGTGTCCGTAACCTCAAGTAATTGCAGCAAAATTAACCTTGTGCTGTTCTTCGCAGCTTAACTGCCTCCACCAGCCTGCGGCAGCGGTGTCAAGCGTTGTCACCACTAGCCTGTCACCGCTGTTAGCTACAATGAGAGACTGAAAAAACTCAGAGCTTGTCAAAAAGTGGACTGTGACGTGACTTTACACTGGATGAAGGCTGTCCCAGCGAGGAAATGCTGGGTACTCACGCTGCTTTTATCTAGCGAAGAAAGGCGTAACAATGACTGGCTGCAAAGTGAAGCCAGAGAAATTCAAATGAGAATCGAAGCACAGGATTTTAACAGGCTGGTAATTATCCACGAGGACAAATTTCCAAGGAAAGCAGGGGGTTGTGGAGGTTTCAGATCAAGCCCAGCTACATGCCTAGAAGAAATGTTGTAGCTCAAACAGCACGTCAAGCATGCTGGAGAGGTTCTGTGGCTGAGGACCGGTGGCATGGGTTTTTGTAGGCAGCAAGAAAAATATTTTCACTGTTTTTATTCTCTGAGTGATGGGTTGAGGGACATGGGGCTGCTGCAGCCAGCTGAATTGGGGCTGCTGCTTCCAAGATCTGTGAGGGTTTCTTACATTCAGCAAAAAATGACATGTGCTGCAAGAAAATGGGTCTCATACCTTGAAAACTGGGAAGCAGTTGCTACAAGGGTCAGCACAGGGAGAATTTGAAGGCAGGTCACGCTGTGGAAGCGCAGAGGGAATTTATTTCAAAACTAAGGTGAAAACTGAGAAGATCTGGACAATTTGGCCTGTGTTCAGACCCCCCACTGCTCTGTGACTAGAGGCAGATTGCACATCTCCAGGAGAAATGGTTACTTACAGGTACGGGCTTCCTAAATAAACTACTTTATAGTGTCTTAGTTCCTTCTTTGTTGTCCAGTGGTGCTGTGTGTGTGTTTGTGCAGACAAAAAAAAAAAAAAAATGCTTCTGTGCAACCCCAAACAAGCATATGTTTAAAGAAATGAGTGTTGCAGCACTTGAGAAGAGGTTTGCACCATGTGCTAGTGAGCCATATGTGTTCTGTAACTTACAGCACGCCGAGTTTCTTATCTGTGTTTCATGGGTTGATTCACAGCCACCCCAGAAAGAACTTTGCTGGAGAGCGGTATATCTTCACAGCGTCATCATGGGATAGGAGACAAACGCTGACCATGTATTAGAAAGGATGGCAGACTGCTTCTCCTGGACTTATGTGAAAATATTATCGATTCACACTTCTGTGTAAGCGAAATCAGATTCTCCAGCTGCAAGCTACCAGCCTGAATTTAGCAGCCACCGCATAGCAAAATCTCCACACCTCTGCCACAGCTCAGGCAGCTTTTCAGAGGGATCCACTCATTACTGCAGGTCCTTAAAATATCTGTCAGAGGTGGGCTGATTTCTTCTCTTTGGTCTGCTCACTCGACCCCATGCTACACAATCATGAGGATGGAATTGAACCGAAACAAACGGCAGCTCACTTGGATGAGATTGTGTCTGTCTCTCGATCCAGGATTTATGATTCCTCGACTTGTCAGGAGAGGATTGCGGGTTGCAAAATGCCTTTTCCTCTGATGCTACCGGCAGGGTCAGCAGGAGGAATCTGGCAATGAACCGTTTTGGCCCCGCTTTTTGCAAGAGAGACACTGGACAGCTTTGCTGGAGCTATAGGCCAGTGCTGGGGGAGCAGAGCAGGGCTTTTAAATACACGGAGGGTTATTTCTCAGGTGCTGAGCTTCTCCTCAGCTCCATGACCTCCTCCTCCCTCAGGGACTCTGTGAACTGTTTGGAGAGAGACATCTCTGAACCTCAGCAGGAAACAAGACACAGCAGGAAAAAAGACAGGGATGACACCGCTCTCATGGCATCTGGAGTAACTCTCACTCCGCCCTCTTTTTCATTCTACCTTATCTCAGCACAAGCAGAGTCAGGACGCAGTCCCTGTGCTGGGGAAGGGAGCAGCGGTTTGCCTGTCCACAAATCCACTTTGCACTGGTGGTGGCTGGGGTTAAAGTCTGACAAACTTCACAGTCACAAAGAGAGGCTGACAAAGCAAAGCAGAAAAAGAAAAGCTTTCAAGACTTTCAGCTGAGAAACAAAGCAGCACTATACAGAAATGACTAGCTCTCCATTTGCTTGTAATCCCCAAGGCTAGCCCTCTGCTGGCAGGCTGCATGTTAATGCCTTATTAGCTTGCACTTGGTGTGCTCACCATGCTGCGAAAGGACAGAGATGCAAGGGTTTTCTGCATCTCCAACAGTCCCACCACTGCTGCAGTGACGACCTGCCTGTGTTTTGTTAGCGTTTCTTCCCAGCAAGAACAAGATCTGCCCAATGGATGAATGTAGACACCCAGAAATAGGGAATTCATAACCTGGACGGCAAGTTTTCCATGGAATGAGCTGAATTTAAGGTAGGACTGACTGATTGCACGGGTAATCTGCACAGTCTACCTTTTCAGTGGAAACTCCACTGAGTTTCATAAAACTCTGCTACCGATATGTGCAAGCAAAGAAACGGGTTGGAATGGTGAGTGGAGCACCCCCCCAAAATTCACTTTCAGATAGTCACAGACCAGGCTAACCCACTCCCTCAGCACTTAAGTACTACAGAAAGCCTGAGACAGACAGGTATCAGCGTGCTGATAAAAACAGAACTCAGTTTCTTCCTGGTACAACTTTGGAAGGGGGGTGGCATAATTTCTGTATAGCAAATTCCTTCATGAGCTGATAAAGGCAGCAGCATATTGAATATTGAGACATTTCAAGGAAAATTCTGTTGAAACTAGGGAGGTTTTGCCCAAAATTACACTGCAGAATTGCAGCTTCCTAAACGGCACCAACTTGCGGCATGTGCGGTCTGAGAGCCAGCTGCTTGCTAACTCTTACAGACAGAATTTGCTGACATGCAAAACCTTCACTCTTTTTGTATTTCATCTCCATGTCTCATCCTCTTCCGCAAATGCTAAAGAAATGACATGATCCAAAGCTGCACAACTCCACTGCCACTGCATTTCAATTCATGGGCACGATGACTGGGCTCTCTTCCTGCTTTGCAGTCCAAGGGACTCTGAATATCTTGCTTAACTCTTCTCTTGTTTCTGCTGCCGAAGAGCCTGTGAAAAGATATCCTTGACTTGGTTCATTGTGTCTTGATACAGTTTAAAGTCTTCCTCTTTCTTTCTCACAGTAGCCTCCAAAGCAGCCTTCAGAGCTTCATTCTCATCCAGCTGGATCACAAGCCTATGAGGAAACAAAAGGAAAACTTTCACGTGAGCTGTGGAGCTTCAAAGCAAATTAGAACAGTGCTTCAGCTCTGGGGAAGAATACACTGAAACACATGCTCTCTGGTAATTTTATGACAGGTGTGAGAAAGACCAGACGTAACACTTGTTCCTTCTCTCTCTGAGATAGAGAAGAGTATTAGATGATCAAGAAACTTTTCAGATCTGTTTTGTTAAAGACTATAATTTTATTTTCACTAATAAGCTTGCAATCAACCCATAAGGAAAGAAAAAGAAAAAAAAGGTGTCTTCCTTGCACGTGTTTTGTGTTGCTTAACATTTGCATTAGCTTAACATTTCTGGGAATCTGTATAATTATTAGGAAATTTGTGTAAGAATGACATAGACAAGCTCAAACCAGAGCATCTTTGATTTCTACAGAGTATGCTACATTTTATCTTCTGAGGAGCGGGTGCAGGTAATATCACTGCTAAGAGGACAGCAATGAATTTTAGCTATTGTGAGTAACACAGCATGGGCAAGGGAAACCATACCTTGTGCTCAGCTCCTCTATCTGCGATTCTAGAGGCAACTTGGAAAGCTGGGCTGCAGAGACCTCCTTCCTATCACTCACATTCAAGGTGAGTCTTGAGTGACTTACAGACTGGCCTGTAGATTTAATCACAAAATGGAGTTTTAGTAAAACAAGCAACCACTTTCACTTCGTAGCACACTGAGTAAATCTCAGCGAACAGTGAATAAATACTAAGGAACCTGTTCAGTTTTCAGTTCTATGTATATCCATGAAGATATTGTAAATATATAGAACAGACTTTTATTTTAAAATAAAAGTTTGCATTTCTGGGAAAATTCAGTAGTATGTCTGCCTACCTATTTAGAGAAGAAAAAAAATTAATCCAAAATATTTAAGTGGCCAAAACAATAGGTGACAGAAACATTTGAAAAGGATTATTTTGATGTTTATCTTGTCATTTTGTTTCATTTAAGACTATGAGAACTGCTGCTTTCTGAATGACTGTGATAAAGTTTGTGTGTGGCACACACTGAAACAGCTTTTGTAAAGCACTTTGATCCTCAGCATAACACAACATAGGTTAAATGCAGTAAAGCACTTAAACATGTACTTCAAACTAAGGTTCTAAATCAGGAATGCTTTCCTAAATAAAGGCCTACCCAAAACATGCAACATTGCTCCTGTCATTTCAAAGGGACACAAACCCTTTTTTCAGGGTTACAGAGAAAATATAATTTAAATTTACTACTGGGATTGGAGAAGCAGAAAAACTATGACCAACCCGGTGAACCCCTAAAATGGAAGAAGGCTCAGAGAAAATGGGCAATGATGATGTGCTCAAGAAGCTCTGAAAGGAATGTAGGAAGTGGCCACCACTATCATAGAGGACACTGAGCTTATCGCAACACCAAGGGGACTGGAGGGTGGTCTTTGCTATAGATAAAAGCCCCAATCAGTTCAGTAAACGTCAATGGCCTTCTCTAAAATAATCGATAGAAAGTACTACCTACCTTGAGCCAGCCAGACCAACATGAGGGAAGTGTATATGTGCTCAGCCCAACATAGAGTATAAAAATCAAAAAAACAGCAAAATGAACTTCAAAGAAAACAGTGGGCTTGAACTGGCCTCGACCCATGTATTCCTTCCCAGCACCTGGGGACACACAGCGTCATGACAGTGGGCATCTAGGCCGGTAATGGGAATCGTATTTGTGTTGTGATTCAACTGTACGTTGCAATTGCTATATTGTGCTTGTGTTGTGATTTCAGTACATTGCTATATCACTTTTCCAATTTAAAACCCCACATAACATCAAAGATCTTCAAATAAGTAAATTTGGTATTAAAACACTAAATCCTCCTCATGTGGAATATCTAAAAGAACCTGGTCAGTGAGTATTGGACTCTGACAAAAACATTTGAGAAGAAAAGGCACTGCTGGGTAACTAAAAAAAGCTTTTGATCTTGAGGTTGTGTTTTACAGGACTGAAGAAAACCTGCTGTTACTTACCTATTCTCCTCTGGGATTATCTTTTGCTAATTAGAAATTTGGATAAGAGAAAAAAAAAGGCATGAATAATTTTATAACACAACTGAGTTGTTTCTAGCTACTCAGCATCATTATCTACTTCCCTAGAACTGAAGAGACTAGAAACAGTAGATTAGCAATTAGATCAGCTCTCTCCAATTTTTCACTTTCAGAAAGAAAAGAAAATACTATGTTAATTAGTGGGTTCTCTAGTCTCTATTTCATATTCAAGCTTTTTATTCCTTCTTATTTCCTCAACTGTCTGGCGTGAAAGCATTTAGTTAACCTACATGCTCTGCTGAAGAGGTGTATTACAGACTTGTAGACTCATTTAATGTAGAAACTCCAGAGTTTTGGCACATCACAAGGGGCTGAGCCCTCTTCAAAGAAGGGTGGTGAAATAGATTGTTACCTACTTATCTTATGGACTCAGAGAGCATTTCTTTTTATTAGTCTTACTGCCAGTCCTTTTCTACATTTACTTTTAGTCCTTAGCAGACAAGACTAATGAAATAAATATTTAGTAAGAAGGAACCTGTCACACTGGTAAGAACAGCCTGCTTCCTCTAGCTATGAAATGCCAACCTCCCAGACGTGAGTTACCAAACCGCTACTACAGCACAACAACTTGGTCAAAATGGCTCAGGATCTGCAGAGTTTATCACAGTATCTCTTTGAGGTTGCAAGGGAAATGTAAGTGGAGCACATGTACGATAACAGAATATCACATAACAGATAACACATCAATACTTTACACTAGCAGGTTGTATAAAAGTCTAAGCACACAAAAATTCAGGTAAATTCTCCTCTATGAGACAGCACCAAAATGCTCCAATACTATTTAAGGCATGGAGTCAAAAGAAAAAGCCTACCTTTGAGAGCTGCACTGCTACAATTCTCACCTGGCTACTGCCTATCCCTACACACACCCTCATTTCTTCCTCTGGGCACCTGCAGAACTTTATGAGGGCTCCCAAGCCTCTCACCTCCAAACTCTCCTGGGAATCACAAAGGGCATCCCATGACACCACTTCTGTGAGGCCCAGCACTGCTTAAAAGCCAAAAGCCACAGCACTTTGTTTCTAAGGACTAGGTTTCTATTACGATCTATGCTTTTCTGCAGTACTTTTTCTCTGTCAGGCTCTCTGTTAATAAAGGTAAGACTGCTCTAAAAAATCAGTGCTTGCAGAAAAACACATGAGAATGAGTCAGTGTTGGCTGGAGCCCTTTCTAAGGACACAACAGTTCTGCTCTAAGGAATGGATTCATATTTTACAGAGGGGAATAGGTCTCAAGCAATCATTCAGCCTCCATTCAGGATAAAGGCTCCTCTGAATCATCTTCCTAATGCCCTCTATACGCTGGATGGGTGAACGGCAGTGCTTCCCTTGAGGTCCTGAACACCACGCAGATGTTACATTGGAGACCCTAACTCTCCTGTATGAATTGAGATCACAGTGACCAGTAACATGTGATTTCTTACATCATGGTCCTGCTCCAGTGAAAATTTATTGCCAGACATGGAGATGACCAAGAGCACTAGGATGGGAGATACAAAGAAATGCAATGCAGTTACAGTAGCATTTCCTACCTCAGTCTGACCCATGCCCAAGGAGAAACAAGTGCAAGTGGAAAGGGAGGGGACTGCTTTTACAGATCATAGTGCTCAGTACATCTCAGCTCTAAGAAGCTGATGAGGTAGCATTAGTACGCACCGTGGTGCTGGATGGAGTGATGATGGAAAGCCACACCATGCATCTGTTGAGCTGCAGGGCAGTCCCCCTAAGGCCCAAGATCATGCGTTTCAGCATGGGGCAGGCCAAGGGCTTGTACAAGGTCTCTGATGAGGCTTGTGATCTCTCTAGTCACCCTAACTCAACCTGACACCATCCCAGTATTTGCCAAATTGAAATTCCTATTCCTACTCTTCATCTCCTGGCATTTAGAGTCTTTTTACTTTATGAAAATACACATAAAAAGGGAAACCACTGGAAAAGTTTCCTTAAGAATATGTGCCATTTTATTCGTTTAGACACTTTACAGAATCAGAGTCCTTAAGCAATAAAAGGTTCTGATCAGGGAAATAAAAATTTAACATCCACCATGAATTCTTCTCCTTTAACTATGCTAGTGAGGCTTTCATATTTATAGCAGGAGATTATCATGTTCATGGGATAATAAATTACACCAGATCTAATTACTTCATCACCAGCAATAGTTTTTCATAGACACTGACAGGCCTTAAATTGGGATGCGTCCTTTAATTCTGCTTTTAACCTTCAGATGAATCTCTCAGGCAGAAGTGCAAAGAGAACACAGCAGTGGGCATGGTGGTGACACAGAGCAGTGTCAAGTTTTTTCTGTAGACTGTTATCCCAGGAAAACAACATGTTGCAAAAGTTCTGGTCCCACTTAAATCTGTGGCAAAATCCTCTTGAATTAAGTGGAGCCAGGATTTTACCTTCTGTATTGGGCCGCTGGTCTGAGTAGGTCCAAGCTGCCACATGTAAGGTCAAGGACTTGTTTAGGTTTGATAGACAAGAGTCCAAATGTTGTTGCTATCTACTAATCACCGAGGTGGGTCAGGGGACATAGCTGTAGATAAGTGCTCCACCTCACCTGTTTTGCTCCTCGGGGGAGGTTTCTGTGCGCCTGTGCTCCTCCCTGGATCCATGTGCAGTTTTTCAAGCTGCTGTTCCAAAATGACGCATCGCCAGCCTCTTCTCAGCTTCCAAGACTTTATCGCTGCCTTCCTCCAGCCTGAGAGGGAAAAAAAAGTAGTTCAGCTTAGTTCACATAAATCGTCATAACTATTAAGGATCAGTCAGTCTCGATATCGAATCCTGCTTCACGCTGCATAGGGAAAAGGAGAATTTTCCATGCATCCAAAGGCAGAAACCCCAGTGCAATTGTTCCAGATGACATCCTCCAAATTTGCAGAACAGAATTAACTAATGAGTAGAGTTGGAAATAATGGGTTCATGAGTGGAGGTTGCCTAGATCCCTTAACACTGGCTACTTGTGTGAATTTACCACTCAGATGGGCAGGCAAGCTGCAGATTTCTGAGGAGAGATCTTAGAAGAATAAAAATGCATTTGTTTAAACACACTGGGAAAATTTGGAAGGAAAATAGTTTATAAAAACACTGTCTAGCATTTAGCTGCTTTGCATCAGTTATCTGCAAGTAAAAAAAGGAAACTTGATGTTGCTTTTAATAAACTTGGCCATTAGGCAGTGAGTGGAAAAGAAAGTGATGGTTCACTCGGCAGTACTGAATGGAAGAGCAAAATGCCTCTCTATTCACCCCACACAACATCTTAGAAAATTAACTACAAAAATTTGATGTGCGCCTGCAGATGCAGTCAATGGTGCATCTCATGTGTGGCTGTGCCTGACACCAAATGATTTGAAGGAGTTTAAAGCTAGAGAGAAACCTGAATTGACTCACTGTATTGTATAGCGCAGACTAAAAGAACTTCCTTCTTGACCCCACGGGTGATAGCCAATTACTCTCTGAATCAAGAGACTTAATTAGTCTTATTTCCCTCCTAGCTGGCATAACTAAAAAAAAAATATTACAACTATAATAAAATTATATCACTGTCTTAAAAATCTAGCTACAGGCAAGACTCTGACCTCCTGGGACAGTGAATTACCAGGCTGGTGACATGCTATGAGAAATTCTATTTTTCTATTCACTAAACTTTCATTTGACCAGGTGTTCCTCTAGCATCCATGTTAGACAAACAGCGGAGGAAAAATTACAAGACTAGTCAGTTTTTATTAAACCTTCTGCCAATATGAATAACTTAAACTAAAATGTTCCTCTAGCTCTTCCTCTTCCCCCAGGAGGGGCCAATCCTACAAACTGTTTACAATGGAGTATTTTCTGACAGTATATTCTGCTCCACAGTAAGTGATTGTGAAACACAGTCCTAAATTCTAGCAGCTGCTGTAGAAAAATCCCACTCATGTAACCATTCTCAGTGCTCCTCTCTTGACTTAAGCACTATATATGTTGCTTGAGCTTTGCTGACCCACACTCCAACAGGGGAAGGGAAGAGGAGGAATGTCTGACTTTTTTTACATATATTTATGTTGAAATATGACTGGGTGCTCTATTATTCTGAGGTCTTCCAAGAGTTATTGCACACGATCTCACAAAATTTACTTTACCTGCAGGAGCTCTTGATAAATGTGTGATAACTGTGGAGCTGCTGAATCATCAGTCTATGGTACATTTTACAAGCAACTGTGCATTTTATTGACTCTGTGTTCTTCATTATCCCATATACCTGATGGCCCCATTTCAGCTATTGCTCACACCTCCATCCTTGTCTAATTGCATAGCTCTATTAAAGTCACTGGCCTTACAAACATGAATAAGATTCCCCCAGTGTGTACTTCCAGGATTTAGCCTTTAAAAGCACCTTTGCCACAGTTACAAAAAAAAAAAGTATTTTTCTGACTGCGATTAATTGTACGGGACAAAAGTTAGACAAGTGAGAAACAGTAATTATTGTCAAATAAAGCAAGCAAGCTAGCAAATAGCACCTATTGCATTCAAAGGCACACAGACAAAAGTATATCTTCCTACACGCTGGAATACAGATTTGGGAATCAAATAATACCCATTCTGTAACTGGGAAAAAAAGCAGTAGCTGAAAGGTGTCCAAAGAGAAAAGACTTTGCTTTCACTGCCCTCCTAAAACATAGTTGGCTTTTAACATCATCTTAAATTGAATTGAATAATAGAAAAAAAAAAATCACTGCTATGCTTCAGTTAAACCAGAAGAAGTTCATTTAGAAGAGGATACAGTGAAACTTAAAGGAATGTGAAAAGCTTCTGGAACAGAAGTCAGATTATAACTGTAATTACAGTATTCACTACTGATGAATAATATCGCTGCCTAAATAAAACCACGCATATATAAATACATGAATTCTAGTTTTATCTAGATGCACCAAGCTTGAAGATGACTCCATTTTTTCTGCTCTTTGTTCTAAAAGAATAATAAAAAAAATGAGTCATCAACTAGGCAGGGAAATTGAGCAGAAAAAACTTAAAAGCGTCTATTTAAGGAAAGGATCACGCTGGCAGCATATGGCATACTGTAGTGCACGCTGTAGACCCTCACACGTCTCAAGCGCTCCTTAATCACAGCATCCCACAAAGGATACTGGCAGATTCAGCCGCTACCTTTTCTGCAGCACAGTGACCAGTTCCAGGAGCCTGTCTCTTTCCACTTCAGCAGCCTGGCAGAGAGCCTTGTGCTCTATGATCTGCATCTGCAGCACTTTCAGATCCGGGCTGTCAGTGCCAGCAAGCCTAAAAGCAGCAGAAGCGTAGAGAGTCTGTTTCCCATTTCACAAATGAAAGAAATGAAACAAAGACAGGATTTGAAAAACATATCAAAATGATTTGAAAAACGTATCAAAATACACTTGTCTGAAGACTAAGCCAGAATGCAGAGCCAGGCTCACCACCTCCCTCCAGCATCGATCTCTATACTACAATAAATTGAATAGAAATATTTGGAAATAAAGCCACCGTGAGTTTCATTAGAAAGGTCTTTTCCTTCGCAAGGATGCTTTCCCTTCCCACCACCCCAGAAAACAAACTTCCACCTCTGATCAATTCACTGTCACTGACTCTCCTCCCACTGCTACTGCCAAAGTAAAAGCAGCCTATATGTGGATTCTCCAAAGTGCCATGCTAAGCTATTAAATGGCACGTTATTGATTTTCTCCTACTGAAAGGCTTCAGGCAGCATTAGTACAATGGCTGTTCTTGTGCCTAATATGTGATGAAAGAAAGGGGCAGTTTTCCCCATGTATCCCATTATTACGTACTTCATTACTTCCCCAACCTCTGCACATAGGAGTATTCAGGAATATCTCCTTTAGAGAAAAAAGCAGGAAAAATCTTGGTGGTTGGGGGTGGAAAGGGAAAAATGGGATTTATGGAGCGTAAAACTAGCAATCAATTAAAAAATCCAGATAGCGAGAAGATGCTAGAGCCTGTGTCAGAGCTCTTTGGCAGTATCAGGTAGAAAGGATGGTGAAAGAAGTTGTTTGTTACAGAAAAAAGGCAGACAAGGATAAGGCTTGCCAGCAGCTTGTGGAGTGTGGCAGGAAGCCCCCCTTGTTTATGGTGAAGTTTATATACATACCTTCCAGGTGTGATGTCACTACTGAGAAGGGAAGGCTTAGTTGCAGCCGACTCCACAAGTGTATGGCCCATCTTGGACACTGTGCTGAGAGGAAGAAAGCTTTGTTAAGCACTGAGCTCTACAGAGGAAAGCCTTCCAAGAACTCCAGTCATTTTCCAATGTCTGTGTTTATTGCTGCCTTGTAGGGAAAAGTGGGTATCACACAGGCCTTGCATACACAATAGCTCAGCTTGCTCCCCCACTCCAAAACACGCTGCAAAAACACCTTGTGTCTCCAAAGTACAAAAAATATAGCTCAGTTTGATCTCTGTGCTTCTGGGGATACTTTGCTGGCACTCCAGAGCAGCATTGCGGAGCTCCATGTCACACAGCAGCCACACAGCAACTCCTGAGCAGGAATAGCTCGCGACCCTGCTTGGCTCAAGCTGAGCATGCAGCTACACAAGCAGCCACTGCTGTTGTTTCCTCGCAGGCACTGCCTCAGACCCTTGCACAGAGCACTCTCACCTTGCATCTTCCCACTAGGGTGAGACAAGCACAGGTTACTGGGCTTGTTTGATGATGGGACATAAAATTCCAGTGTGTGTTTGTCTTCTGAACTTGAGCTCAGCTGTCTAAAGGTAAGGCCCTGTAGACTTAGCCCATGCTTCCTTGTCTTTAGGCTGCAGCTAACAGAGAATAAAGCCTTAACATTGTGGAATAGGCAAAGCTGCCTTCTAGGCTAGGAGTGATTAATCCTAAAATCAAGTTAAGGCTGATAATGACAGAAGTGGCCCAGTCTAACAATGCAGATTTTTACTTCGACATCTCCAAGGGGCTTTAGTTCCTATTTATAGCGTTTTTCATTTCATCTTTCATGATAGGAAAAGATGATTCACTAAAGTAAAACGGAGTAGAGAGTTCATCAGCATATTAAAGTTAATGGAATGAGTGAGCCAGGCTGACCAAGTTATTAATGGCTCTTGCAGTTTTCAGACTCATTCAGGGCCCACCTGACATGTCAGCTATTTTCATGACAGAGCTATGTTAGCCACGTATACAAGCAATAATTTATGCATTGCACTTAGTGGCTTCTATAAAGCCATTACCCAACCTCGTCTTCCTGCTTGCCTTCCTGCTTACCATCAGCAGACATACGAAGTTAAAAAGTGGATTAAGGATAGATTTGCTCCATGGGAGCACAACTTCCAGAGAGTTAGAAGTGGGAGAATAAAGTCAGTCAGAAGGGTATAACAACGGGGATGCAGAAACTTTCAGATTAAGGATGTTTTAACTCTTAACGTGAAAACACTGAGTAGAACTTTTCTTAAATTTTGTAGTAATGCCCTACTTAGACTCAGGGATACCTCTGACAATTTTAAAGCCAAATTCAGTGTCTAAAGTAGGTAGGCGAGTTAAAGTTACATAGAAGTTGCAACTTTAACTTGATGAAAAATTTCCTCCTTCCTCAGAAGAGCAGTCTCAAATCCTCATTGTCAATTAGACCGTGAAATTTTTAGCAACAAACCCAGTATTTTAACAGGAAAGGATATAACTTGCTCTGGTATTATGGTCCCTTTACATAGCCAGAGTGACCCAGAGTCATATCAGTGTAAGCAAAAATCAGATTTACTGCTGTATTAAGATTAGTATAATTTACATGGTCCTCAGCGAGACTTTAAAAAGGGTGTTTGTTAAGAACAAATGATGTGGTGTTTTTTAACATTTCCGCATGTAAATCCTACTCAAAGCATATTTATTGATTTAAATAATGCGCCAGTGATTTAGTGCTTACCTAAAATGGCATTTTGTATTAATTTGCTACCCTGCTTTCAGAAGTGTGCTTGTTAGAAGCCCCGTTTCTCATAAAAGAGAAGAATCACAGGCACTTAAGCTAACCACATAAACATTATCTGAGCTGGAGAAAGCGAATTAGCTGCACTACCATCATGCCAAATGTAGTAACGTCTGCAAGTCTGTATATCTTTCTCTGTTCCAGGATGAAAGTCAGAGAGATAATGTGATTAGAGATTCCCATATACTGTAAACAGGCTGCCACAGCTGTTGGCACACAGCACTTGTGGTTTGATACAATCATCTGGGAAAACCATGCTCCTGAACAACTCACAACAATTTTAAACATTGACATTTGGGTCTTCTTACCGAGCAGATCCAATCCTTCCAATCTGATTTCTGCCTGGTGCCAGAGGCTTAAGAAGAGTAAACCCCAGATCTTCTGAGTGCTCAGAAGGTGGGTCAGAAGGTGGTGTATCAGCAGCTCCTGAAACGTCCCCTTGATGAGCAGATTTCTTCTGTTAATGTTGGAGCAGGTTATAAAACCAATTACACGGTTCAAAGGAAAATAGCTGAATCAATGCCTAATCAGCAGCCTATGATTATTGCTACAAGCATGCCAGAACTTTTGATTTGGTTTCAGAAACTTTTCTTTGGTTTCTATCCATTGCAGGATGGAAACAAAGCAAAAGTCAGTAAAATGTGCAGTTTCATATGAAATCATAGGGTGCACACAGTGTCGCTAGAGAACCCACAGCACCACCAATACCACTGCCACCACAGTTGGTTTGTGTCCCTGAGCCAAGTTTTATCTTAGATTCAGCGCTCTAGCCCGCATTACTGAGGTATCTGACAGATTCACAGTCTCACCATAAACCTATGAGAGTTTTATAACAATGGGAATTGGATGCCTAAATGTTCTAACAAAACCTGACTGTAAGATATCAGGTGACATGAGAAGCCTTTGGCAGGTCAGTGGACTGCCTCTCAATTCCTACGCCTATGCTCTGGCAATAATACCACTTTGCTTATGTTAGTTTTCAACACCAGCCCATAAAAGTTGAGAACATTTTTAACATACTAGTCCATAAGGGGCCAACTTTCCCAATTGTTTCATTTGTACAATGAAATTTCCATATGCCTGAGACCCATCAGACTCATATCAATAGCTTGGAGATCTGAGGGAGAGGAATTTTTTGAAGTGATTTACAGTGGGGGATGAGAATAACTTACTAGGGATCCCATCACTCCATGAGGGGATGTAGCTGGGTACCATGGCAGCCTGCTGATGGTGGCCTCACCTATGTTTGTTTGATTGCTTCCTTCAGCAGCCAAGGATGCTGAATACTGGGAAGTCTCCATTTTAGCCCAACCCTTGCTGTCAGTCATGTGACAGTCTTGACATGGAGCCACGCATGGATTTGATTGATATTTCTATGCTTTCTGCTGCTTAAACAGCGTGAAGAAAAGTTACGTATAAACAGGAAAGAAGCTTAAAAGTTACAAGAGAGAATTCCTGCTTTATCATTCCATCAGGAGAGACTGTCCGTAGAACAAGTATTAGTGTCTTGAGCTAGCAACAGTCTCAGATAACAGTGGAGAAAGAAGTGGAACAGCAGATCTAAAATGATTACAAAGTGTGCTTCTCTAGTAAATTACTTCTGTCTACCTGAAATGTGAGTTGCCCAATCTCCTCTTCCAGCTCTTTAACCTTTGCTTCTCGTTCAGCCACCATCTGTCTGAGCTGCTCTATTAGGCAGTTTTGTTTCTGAACCTCACTGTTCAAGTGCTGCCCTAGCACCTGCTGGGACTCCTTGTTCTTCTCCTCCTGCTGGCTCAGGTGCTTTAAGATCTCCTGCATTTGCTTCTGTTGGCTCTGATAAAATAGAAACAATGAGTGAGAGCTTTGCTTTTGTACACAATGATTATTATGACCCCGGGTGTTTTACACCCTCCAAGACAAATGCCCATTTAGGAATGCTAAGGCAAGCCACTGCCCTGCCAAAGCCATTCCTTGGTGTAAGCACACTGATGCCACTACCTCCAAGAATTTGGTCCTCTGTCCCCACTGTACCCTGCTGATCATATCAAGGCTTTAGCGACTCAATGGTGCAAGTAGAAAAGACCTGAGCTGCTGAAAGATTCAGTTTGCTGGTAGCTTTGCTACTCAGTGTAGCAGAAAAGAGAGCAAGAAAGGCTGGCCTTTGACAAAGGAGCTGACTTTTTCATAAATTGTGTAAAAGTGAAAAGATTTCAATGTGCTTTTTGTGAAGCTAGGACACAATCAGATTGTGTGATAGAGACATTAAAAGATAAGGGTAGTATGAGATTACAGCTATGAGGCTAGGCTGTTTTACCAGTGGGTTTGGAGTTTTTCTCACACTGGCAAATCTAATACTTGTCAGACAGTTTGTTCTGTCAGGCCAACAAACTGGAAGCAAGGTGCTGCTTTGATGTAAGGGATAAAACAAGTTAACCATTCCTTTTCAAGTAAACTCATGTCTTTCTGTAATAATTTTTAGTAACAATGCTCAGACTTAGCAAAAGTGACACCTGTGATTTGGCTCCTCTGTAATCTGCCTGATCTGCTGCTCAGATGCCCCATATTCCCCACAGCTGCCTAGTGTGCAGAAAGGTGAATGCCAGCTTAGTCATAAGCATGTCTTAGCTAAAACCCACATACAGAAGCAAGGAAATGTAAGTGATTTGAAACTTGTGAGGAGCTGAATCAGGAAAAACCGTACTAAGGAGTGGCATATTTTCTAATTTTTTTTTTTCATTATTGTAATTGTGGAAGACTGTTTAGAACCATGGCAGGACAAAAGGGTCCTTCAAGACCTTGACAGCAGCCATTTATGTCAGCATAGTTGCATCTTGAGTCTCTGCTAATACTCTTGGTTTTGAAGGGCCCAAGTCCTCTCTGCTCCTGCTACTGCAAGTGAATATTCATGGTTTAATACTCACATGGTTTAATACTCATGGTTCACCTTGTGTCTTGTTCAATATCTTTATTGATGATCT